CCCCAAAACCCCAAAACCCCAAAACCCCAAAACCCCTTTATGTTAAAAATAAATTGATATATTTTGAAATAAATTTGTTAAGAAATGTACCCTAAGAAAACACCAGTGGATGCAAACGAAAAGCGTGAAAGAGATAAGCTACATCGTCGTGAGCAGATGAAATCCCTGCTCATTAGTAAATTCCAGGGGAAGTACTCCTTTGGGTCCAAGAACCGTGAGGAGAGGGATAAAATTATCACAAGAGAGGTTAACTCCCTCGTTGATAATAAAATCTGCTCTGAGAAGCACCTAGTAGAGTTAGACAAGAAGCTTAGCAACCTCTTTGATGGTAATAATAAATCAGAAAAGTCCCATAATTCAAAAGCCAGTCATCATTCTAGAGTCTCAGCTGCCAAAAGTGGCAAGAACTCAGACATCTCAAAGAGAAGTGCATTTGTTAGAGCAGGAGCTGATATTCTTTCTAGAGAAAAGGAGATGAAAATGTCAGGATACAGCAAGAATGGTTCTGCAGCTGGGCACAGTTACACTGCCAGTCTCAATAGATCCTTAGTAGGCCCTAAGGCTCCTGACGAATGGGACAACCTCATCATGAAAGATGTGAAGAAATACGAACAAGAGCAACAGCAAACCCTAGAGAAACGTCGCAAGATGAAACAGCAAATAATGAATGATCTCAACAAGCAAATCCGTGACAAAGAAGCTATGAAAAAGAAAAGCCGTGAAGAAGAGATCAACATGGAAAAGAAGCGGCAGAACATCCACCACCAGCAAGAAAAACTTGAAAAGCAAAAAGAGATGCTCAAGAAGTTGAAAAATGACGAAGAAAGAAAAATCATGGAGACCCAAATCGCTGAAGTAGAACACCACAGAAAATTTGAGAAGCACAATGAGAAGCTACAAGCTGAACATGAGAAGGAGCAGGTCCTTAGGGAGCTAGAGGATGATCTTGAGAAGCAGAGAAGGAAGAAGAAGGAATATATCGAGGTCTGTCAAAAGCAATACAAAGAAAATTTGGAACTCAAGGAGTCTCTCAAGAGCAAAGAACTTCAGCGCAAGAAGGAAGACACTGCTAAGAAGAATGATATGTTCGGGAACCTATTTGAAGAGAAAACTCATGTCAGCTACGAACTAGCTGCTAGAAACCAGAAGAAGTTCGACGCTCTCACCAAAATCCTCGAGCGAGAAAATGAGAAGAAAAATAGAGCTAGGAATTATACTGAATTCGAAGAAGGTGACAACAAGTTGGATAAATAAGAACGATAAAGACCAACAGAAAAGAAAGCTAAGGCACCAGGAAGATGTCAAGTCTAACCTCAACTTCTTACAGGAGCAGATCAAGTTCAGGAAGGAAAAGGAGAAATTTGAAAAAGATACTGAGGTTAAGCAAGCTTATCTCATGAATAAAAGAGCTCTTGATGAGCTAGAAATGGAGGCTGCAAGGACCCAGGCTATGAGAAATAAAAGAATTCAGCATAAAAATGAGCTAAAGAACCAAGGTACGAACCACGTTTATCGTTTAGAGTATGAAAAGGCTAAAGATGGAGCTAACTACTCGATGACACAACAAGAGAGACTCATGAACAAGGACAGACTCGAAGCATTACAGTAATTGATTAATTTCAATTGATGGAATGATTTGAGGGGTTTTGGGGTTTTGGGGTTTTGGGGTTTTGGGG